TCTGGTTTCCTTCCAAAAACATGCTGGTAGGTTTCTTTAGGTCTAGTTTAAGCCCCCCAAACATTACATAGACATTTTCTAAAAGCAGATAACCTGTAGAGCAGGAGGAGCCACACAATTGCAGGTGATGGTAAAACTATAAGGCACTAATGCTTTTTCCCCTTTCTTACATTACAGATGGACACAGGAAATGCTCTGGTGTGTATAAATACAGCAGACAACACATCGTATATTCAGGGAATTTCGCCGTACTTGTTTGATAGTCTCATCAGCAGTACTTGCCTCAGCTATGTGAATGTTGGCCCAGCTGTAAACTGGGTTAGATCATACATACCATTTGATTAGGCCACATTCTCGGGTAGTTATACTTACTGTATGTACGGTAGTAGGTGTTATACAAATGATACAAATACTTTATCTATAAGGGTGTTTTGTACATCTTTTTTTTTTCCTTTCGCAATTTGCAGCACCGGGCCAATGTTTACAGCACCCTATTTTGCACATCTAGCCTGCATATTTGTTTCTAGTTCTGGAGTAGTGTCATTAAGTAATTATGGGATTAAATACCTGGTCTTGTTAAATAGAAACCATTGCCTTTTGTAATGTTTTTAGCTTTACGTGTGAAAGATAAGTTTACTGTTCATAGTAGTGTGCGGATGTATTAAAGGAAACATACAGAGGGGAATGTAGTGTAATGTAATGCCAGGGCTTTTAAATTAGGGCTTGCTGTAAGAGGTTTGAGAGGAAAGTATGGCAGTTGTGCTGACTTTGTATGCATCACTGTATTATTAGGCTACCATCACCATATTGTTGAAGTTTATGTCAGAAGCAAGCCTGGGATGGAAAGCTAAAGCTGACCGGATATGAAAGCAAAAATGATTGTGCTGTACATCATCTCTTCCTACGGCAGCTATGTTCCCTTCTTCCCCAATTTATGCCTTTATTGTGCAGATACCACTCTTGCATGTCTGCTCTGAAAACTTGTGTGCCCAGGCAACTCCATTTCCACCCAGTGCTCCCAACTCTACTCTCCTTTTGTCCAAAATAAACCAACTATTTGACAATAGAAGGGCAAATAAGGGAAGGAGTTGAAGGCAGAGAAAGACATCATAACATAAGTATTTTCCTTCCTTCTCACTAAGACTAAACAGAAAAGGAAATGGCTTTGCACTCTCCTCCAACAGAGTGCCTGAAAGCGTTGTACCTGTGCTGGGCTGTTAGAACTGATAGCACAGCATGCCTAAAAAGTGCACACATTTTGGGGCTGCAGTAAATGAACAATCATTTAAAAAAAGAAGAGGTAACTAGAAAGTGCAGAAACCTAGGAGGTTCAGCAGTACACAGAATCTTCGTTGCTACATCTGAATGCTGGGCCCATACAGTTTCCAAAGCCTTGAAACTTCCTGGTAATGTGAAAGCTTGCCATTCCCTCCTGGCTTTCATAAATTTCTATTGTCACATCCCTAGGATGGGCTGTCTCACAGGTCAATAGGAATGTGCAAGAGGCAGAATGAGGCAGACAAGCTTTGACAAAACCAGGTAGGATCTGGAAGGTCAGAAGAGCCCAATATTTAGGTGTATGCAGCAAAAACTTGCAGGATACTGCAGCTATGCAGCTGAAATAGGCCAGCCCTTTTAACTGTCTTTTAATTGATTTGTACTAAAACACATTTAAAGAATACATAACAAAAATCCATATAGCTTACCTTTAAATCCTTGTATATATGTAGTTTGTTTATTACATATGCAGGCTTTGCTTCCTTGCTTTGGCTTGCTGACTTACTTATCTCAGTGAAAGTCTAATAGACAGGGTCTGGCTGTAAACAGTCAGTCTGCAGTTTCTGATGATTGATAGCCACCGGTTAATTAATCTAGACCAATGGTTCTCAACTGGTGGGCAGTGACTCAAAAGTGGGTCCCTAGGTGCCTTCCACTGCGCTAGGTGAGAGGCTCTTCAGCCTTCCCTAGCGCAGCACTGTCAGTCCTGGTGCCGAGCAGCCATTCAAAATATGCTGCCCGATGCCGAGTGTCAGCTTTAGGTGGGGTGGGCTGGGGGTATGGTCGTGAGGGAGCTCCATCCATATGTGTATTGTGTACAACTCCCTTGCATCCCCTGTAGAGGTACCTGGACCAGAATGACATCACATTGTGGTTCCCGGCACCTCTACAGGGCAGCTGTACAAGCAATGCACATATGGATGGAGCTCTGTCACAGCACAGCAGCCCTCACTGGACCCCCAGACTGAGGATCCACTCCAGTTTCACGTAAGGTAGGGAGACTGGGTGGAAAAAAAGAAGAGAACGTCTGTCAGTGTTTTTGAAGGCCCGTTCATACTAGTACACTGCGTTAATCGCACAGTCCTGTGTGATTAACGCACTGTACCACGGAATCTCACCTAGTACGCACTCTGGTGCGCTAGGTACGTTGCATTGCCATAATTTTTGAATGGCACCCCAAAAGCCCCTCCTAACTACAGTGCGATCGCACGAACCGGAATGCGCGGTACCACAATGCCATACATTCCAGTACAGTGCGACTTGGGTCACGACTTAATGACCAAGGACAAATATGGGTCCTGAGGTTACACAGGCTGAGAACCACTGATCTATACTCCCTCAACATATTGTTTTTGTAATGTAGAAAATCATCTGCACTCCATACAGCATTGCAACCTGTGAAGAAAGTGGTGCTCGCAATGATGCCGTGCAAAACTCCAGATACTGAACAACTTGTTTACCAGCACACACTGCTGAAAAGCTTCTAATTCATTTGCTGTATTGAGGAAGCCGTCACATCATGTCAAAGAACAATGTTTCAGGGTCACGCAGGGCCTTCATCAGGTAACATGGTGACCACGGTGACCCTGTGTCTACCGGATGAGGGGGCCCTGCGTGACCCTGAAACGTTGTTCTTTGACATGATGTGACGGCTTCTACAATAAAGCAAATTAATTCGAAGCTTTTCTGCAGTGTCTGCTGGTGACCAAGCTGTTCAGTATATTGTTTTTGTATTGACAACCAGCAAGAGTTTCATTCAATTTTTGAACAAAGGAACTCATTTGCTTCCCAGATAACATAAATTTCAGATGTAAAAAAAAAAAAGACATGATTATTGTTTGCATAACCAAACTTAAATCTGTATATAGGCCATATGGAAAAAATGCAGAAATTCTCGTTCTCTCTCTGCGGCACATGCTTTAGCCTGCTATATGCTGCCTTAGGGTAACAGTAGAACATTAAATAAATGTACACTTGTGACCCAAAAGAGAAGGCAAAAAAGGCTTGGCTTTACTTCTCTTTTAAAAAATGTATTTCATGAAACTTCAGTCGATATACGGTATAGGACATTAATTGGGGTTTATTTTATACCTGCTTTGAATTCAGCATTAACACCGCCCTTTCTTTCCCCTTCTACAAAAGGAACAAAAGTCGATCATTCAGGATTTAAATGTTTTATTTGTACAAAAAACAATCACATCAAACTGTTTAAAGCAAAGAAAATGAGTCACGGACGTAGGTGAATTATCCATTTTGTAGACTGAACATCAATGGCTGCCTTCATTGTGATGGATGCTAAAGGATACCTGTAGAGGAAATATATAGGCTCTAGTTGCTGACCTCTCCATCGGTTTCCTGGCAGTCATCTGCTTCTCTAAAAAAAAGTCTAAGTCCTATTGTTGATTATCATCTCCAAGGTGCAACAAACAGCACCCCTGTTACTGAATATCTTTGCTAAGCGGACAAATAGACATAACAATTAGAAAGGATGGGGCATCTAACCTAAGCAATGTAGACTGTCCTCTAGGGACAAACTGCAACCATTTCAATAGGCAGTGTACATGGAAGCAAAAAACACTCCACAGCCCACAGGAAGGTAATATTCAGAAATACATATTATTGTAAGTGTGTGTAAAATACACATATATTACACACACAACATACACATACCACACAAACACACCACACACAGGGCTTGAAAATGTTTTCGCTGTCTCACCAGCCAGTCAAAAAATGTCACCAGTCAGCATGACTGCACTATAGCCTTGCGATTTATGTTAACATTATTTTAGGGACATGTGGAGCTTTCTTTTGGTGGTGTATAATCACCACTGGGGTTTAAACGCTTTTACTGCTCATCAGTTTAGTGTTATCAGTGATTAATGGCCCTAAAATTAATGCTCGCACTCCGATGTTTGCGGCGATATGCAACATGTGCGGCACAATAAGCGCAATCGTTGTTTTCGACACGTTTGTGTGTGTGGGGGGCTGGGGACTTAAACAAAAATGTAGTGTTTTAAAAAAAAATGTTTATGCTTTCATTTTTTTATCACTCTTTTTTTTTACACTTAACTTTATTGCTATCACATAGGGGAATAAGAAGTCCCCTATGTGATAGCCAATTTTCATGACAGGTCCTCTTTATAAAGACATCAGGGGTCTCCAAAATCCCTAATGTCACCTAGGGACCCCCAGAGAAGCTGATGAAGCAGAGATCTGCTTCACCAGCTTCTGAAGCTTGACAGTGACAGCAGAATGCGAAAGTGATGTAATATACATCACTTCCTGCATTCGGGGAGATTGTGTACTGATCTCCTGTCACAGAGCAGCCATGCCGGTCCCCGCCGCACCGGGTCTCGGGACTGGCAACGGCAGTGACAGCTGCTGCTAATACAAGCGATCGGACGTCTCTATAGACACCCGATCGTTTGAGTGTAAAGCTTCCAGCCGGCTGTTTAATTACAACGACCAGACGGGAAGCTACTCGTCCGGCTCCACCGTTCTCTCGTCACAGACAAGAAGATTTTTCAAGCCCTGTATGTGTGTGTACATAACAAACGGCAACAAGAAAAAAGGCTTTAGATATGGCATTGTCTTAGGCTTAGCTAGCTCACTTAGCATTGTAAACTGAGTGCAATAATAAAGGCTACTGTATAATTATTCAGTGGGGTCCAGAATGTCAGACTAGGTACAAAAGTTGTAGGCAGCTGTCTGACTTGCAACTGCAGGAAACCTGGATAAAATATGGATACACAAAGTCCCCACCACAAATGTAAGGCCAGAGTTATAAAGTACAGTTGGTAAATAAAATGGCTGTCTTCTTTCTAGACATCAAGCAAGCAGTGCTGAAACTCTAATGCCATAAGGTCACCTAGTCTCTACTTGCAGTAATTCAGTTTGAGAAGCAGGAGTTCCTGCATCCTTCTGGGAAGTTGATTCAAAGTCAACTGAAGCTACATTATCAGTGTGACTGTGTAAGTGTCCTGAACAATCAGAATTTTGATGATAAACCCCAGAAGCAGCTGCAGCTGGGTAGACTGAAACACCAGCAGGTGGCCATGTTCCTGGGACCCGTGCATGGTGGTATGGAGAGTACTTGTCTTGGAGACCTTCTGGTGGAGTGTAATATTGCTGGGTGGGATACGATCCAGGTGGTGGGTTTAACCTGGAAGGAAAAAAGAAAAGAAAAAATAGTCACCTACACATACCTAGCGTATCTTCCCCAGAGCCCCCGAAGACTCGATTTGAAGCTCCACATTCAGAACAACTCCTCTAACTGAGCTTGCAGGGCATTTGGGAAAACAGAAAAGATATGTATAAAAGGAAAAGTTAAGGCTGGACCCTGAGTAAAAAACTAGCGTCCTCCCGTCACCCTAAGCTCAGTATACCGCAGCGGATCCCGACATCGATGTCGAGATCCGCCCAGCTGCGTGAGTGACAGCTGGCTCTGCCTATCTAGAGGCAGAGCCAGCTGTACCCACCCCCTCCCCCGTCCGTTCCGCCAGTCAGCGCTGGTGGATCGGAGCGGGGAGGGGGGAATCCATCCCCTCCCCTGTCACGGCAGAGAGCCGTGACAGGATCGAGAAGTGAGCGAACGCCGGAATGTGCTCGCTCACTTCCCGATCTACTGAGCCGACCTGTGACAGTCTCATTGTCACAGGTCGGCTAGAACTATGAGGATGGAGTGATAAGCAGTCACCTCATAGTTCTCCTTTAAAACAGGGAAATGCCATCTAGTGACCATAATGTACTATTCCAACTAGGGATACATTAGTGTTGATATCAGTGCCGATACAAAGTATTTGGGCGAGTACTCGTACTGGCCCAAACGCTCCCAATACCAGGAAGCCGGGCATCGAGTCATTACACACTGCCCGGCTTCCGGATTGGTCAGAAAGTCAGCTCCATGCTCCCTTGTCATCAGGGAGCATGGAGCTGGCTTCCTGATAAGCTGGGAAGCCGACATCATCATGCTCCCTCGTCACTTCGTGTAATAACTCGCCGCCCAGCTTCCTGATTGGTCGGGAAGCTGGCCAAATCAGGAAGCCGGACGGTGAGTCATTACCAGCCCCCGGCTTCCTGATTGGCCAGAAAGCCGGCTCCATGCTTCCCCCTCACCCGGTGACGACGGAGCTAATCGGGAAGCCGGGTGAAGTCATTCCACGCCGCACGGCTTTTTTAATGGGAATTCCAGTATCGGTATTTGGCGAGTAGCGAAAAAGAAAAATTAAAGACATCGCTACTCGATACCGAAAAAACAGTATCGGTGCATCCCTAGTTACAACACTAGATTCAAACTGCAAAAAATGTATATTAAGAAAAGACATTTGTTTTTTGGCATTATTCACCCAAAACGAATGTTCACAGATATTTACAGGGTGAAGGGCTCTGCAAATGGTTGGTGTCAAGCACGGAAATGTGAAATAAAACAAAAGCACCATATTTATTTTAAATGTGCTACCCTCACCCCACTCCTAAACCAAATAATGGAATAGGGAAATTAATATTATTCTGTGGAGAACAAAAGCACTTCGTACACTTAGGGCCAGTTCACACCATATGCAGTTGTGATGACTGCTGCAGTCAAAATACATCACAATGCTTTCCTCCTATGGGCTTTCTTGTGCTTTAGTCACACTGCAATGGTGTGTATTAAGCACAAGAAAGCCCATAGGAAAGCATTGTAATGTATTTTGACTGCAGCAGTCAAATAAACGGACTGCATATGGTGTGAACTGGCCCTGAAATCTCTGCGTCAGGTTTCTTTGTTGTGTTTGCAAACACAGAAATGTTACTTTTAATCCCAAACTCTATATCATTTATTAGTACACAGTAATAAAGAATAAGGATCCTAACACTAAGGCCTGGTTCACACCTAGGCGTATTGCATATGCGCGTCTGTCGCGCGTTTTCTTAACCGCGTTGCGCGGTAAAAAAATCGCGCGACAAACACGCGTTTCCGAGGGTTACTTGGCTGTATCCCAATGGAAACGCGCAACAAAAACGGCCCAAAGTAGTACCTGTACCTTTTCAGGCGTGGGCCGTTTTGTAGCGCGTTAGGGACGGGCTGAAATACGCCAAGGTGTGAACCAGACCCATTGAAAACAATGGGATTTTCATGTTTGAGCTTTTTGTAGAGCGTTCGTCGAGCGTAGAACGCGATACAAAACGTTCAGGTGTGAACGAGGGCTAAACCCAGGGGTACACCTCTAACAACCTCAGACCATCCAGAATATGAATACTGTAATGAACCCCTACTCTCTGAATACGATCTTTGAGACAGTTTTCTATCCATTTACAGACTGAACTATAGCTAACAAACAGCAAAGTAGTTTCACAGCAAATGTACCTGAAGTACAACAAAGTTCACTTACTTTTTGGTTTGAGAAGCATTCCGCTCAGCCAATGTTGCAGGAATGTATCTCCAAAGTGGTATGTTCTTTAGCACTCTGAATGGTAACATCTGATCTATTCGAGACAGCAATGATTCGGAGGGATCCAAGAAAAAGCAACCACCCAGGCCATCTGTGTTGAAGTTAAAGAAGCCCAGCAGTGTAACTATCGCTTGCTACCTCTGTCATTTAAGAAACAAAACCCATTCTAACATTTATATCAGCACACAAGAACAAAATGTAATATATGGCAGGTTACCAGTCTTGTGGAGCCACAATCAAAGCTGAACCCCCAGTGAAATTCCAAGATCCACTTGCAGTAGTGCTCCCCCCACACTGCAAGGCTTTAGGCCTTGTTCACACCGAAAGCTGTGTGCGTTCAAGAGCGGTAGCTGCTGGAACGCACCGCGATCGCTGTGAAACTTCCCCCCCTGCATTGTATTCAATGGCAAGCCCTATTTTATGCGTTTGCAGTGGAACGCAATGCTGGCAAAGTTTTGCCACGTGTCCGATCACACTGCGGGCTGGGGGGGGCGTGGAAGCGGTGCCATTGAATACAATGCACCGCTACGCCCCCTCCCGCCCCAAAACGTGGGGGGAAGTTTCACAGCGATCGCGGTGCGTCCTACCGCTCTGGAACGCACACGCTTTCGGTGTGAACAAGGCCCAAATGCTTGTAAAACTGTATAAGTAACAGTTTTACTTATTCATGCATTACTCCCCCAAGCATCCTACACTCTCCTCTCATCTTCAATGCTCCGGGTTCTGGGCTGGTCCTGGTTATCCTCCCTTACAAGGCAGGATTGCTGGCCCTGCAGTGTATGTGATGACACCAAAGTGTCTGCGACCAATGGGGGGCTGAAGGGAAGAGGCTTTGGGGGACTGACCGTACTGTGGCAAGAAGGGATAAGGCAAGGGAAACTGCTTTTTAATGGTACCCTAGACGAGAACATGTATTTAACCCTTGCAGTATAAAGGGAGTCGCACTGCAAGGGTAGCTTTGGATTCTTTTCAGGGTTCACCTTTAAAGTGAACCTGTGGCTTTATCTTGCATCACAAAGTTACTATATCAACCTTGGGTACCATGTTTCTATGCTAAAACCCTTCATGTAGAAATGAAGTAAGGGCCGTTTATAATGTACTCCCAGCCAATGGGGTACCATTGAAAACAGAATTACATTCAAAAATGCATTGTGAATTAAAACAGACATTTTTCATTGAAAACTCTATGAAAAACCTTAAAAACTTACCCCCTAATACAAAAAGGTAGGAAGAATGTAACATGGTCATTTGATTTCCGATAGAGGATCTTCAGGACTGACATCAGAAGAATACTCATGCCGAGCGGCAAACTAGTTGGCTCTGAACAAGCGGTCTTCTGACATCAATCTACCAAACTCTTTTATCACAGGCTACATCAGGGATGTCCAAACTGCGGCCCTCCAGCTGTGGTGGAACTACGAATCCCATGAGGCTTTGCAAGATTCTCACAGCCAGAGACATGACTCCCAGAGAGAGATGCTTCATGGGATTTGTAGTTTCACCACAGCTGGAGGGCCGCAGTTTGGACATCCCTGGGCTACATCAACAATGCCTAGCCTCAGCCCAGAACCAACCATTATTAGGTTAAGGGGTTCTGTACCTTCATCCATTTTTAATACAGCGGTTTTGGCATCAGGGTGACCCAGTGGGCTACAGCTACGCCTGGATGAAATGCAGAAACATGGGCATCCAGGCTGTGCCCCGGTACACATTTTCTGAGTTTCTTCTCAGTTTTTGCCAGAATGAAAATTTGAAAGTAACCCAAACTTGTTAACACACTATTTTGATGTGGCTAATTCAATTAGGCAACCAATAAAGTGGGACACAGCAAAAGTACCCTATTGACTCCTTGTAAAGAAGTGTATTGTATATATAAATAAAAAAGGATACACATAGCACCAACCAGGGTGCCGCACACATTGCTGAGGACAGTGGCATGTGGTAACAAGAGGGCAAAGATCAGGAACAACACTGGCATGATCTTCATTGGCACTATAAATCCACAGAATATAAGACGTCTTAGACTTGTGCGGAGGGTGAAGACGCTGATCATAGAAAAAGCCACCACTGTAAATCCTTGAACGCTGACATCTGCTTGAGGGTTGAAGCCTGTGGCAATGACACCCAGATACAAAGCTCCAGCACTCACGGCAAACAGCGGTGTAAGGAAGCAAAACTTCACTGTACCAATGTTCTCCTCAAATCCTCCACCAAAATACCAGATCAGAAGGATGCTGCAAACCATGGTAGGTAGATCCTCAGTAAAATAAATGTATGTGATCAGTCTGTGGCCTGGAAACACATTAGAAATTAAGAACAAATATACAACACATAACAAGACATACTTAGGCTGGGTTCACACCTAGGCGTATCGAATATGCGTGTTTGTCACGCATTTTTTACAGCGATTCGTGGTAAAAAAAAAACGTGCAACAAACGCGCGTTTCCGAAGGCTACCTGGTTGTATCCCAATGGATACACGCAGCAAATACGCCCCAAAGAAGCTCCTGTACTTCTTTGGGCGTAGGCCGTTTTGCGGCGCGTGCCTACGCGCTGTAAAACGCCAAGGTGGGAACCATGCCCATAGGCAATCATTGGTTTTCACATGTTGAGCGTTTTACAGAGCGTAGGAACGCGCTGTAAAACGCCCAGGTGTGAACCAGGCTTTAGAGATGGCAGTGATGTTGCTTCGAACATCACAAAAACTAACGTCCCACATACATACACAAAATGCCTTCAAGTATGATGAGACAATGAGACATCAATTTGTTAATGTCATGAGACAGTGCGATGGGACGTGCGCCAAAACATTGCCTGCGTTCCCGGTCCACTGCAAATGCTAAAAAAGGAGCGTGCAGCATTTTTTGCGTTTGCAGTGGACCAGAATGCAGGCAATGTTTTGCCACACGTCCAATCGCACTGTGGGCCCCCTCTGCCCCAGAACGAAGGGTGGAGTTTTGTGAGCGATTGCTGTGCGTTCCAGCAGCTGCCGCTCTGAACACAACGCAATGGGTCCTGACAGTGTTGCTTGCCTTCATTTTTTTTCCGTTTCGCAAAAAGACGCAATTTAAAATATTTGTTATTTAACTCCACACAGTTTTATCTTTTAGATTTAGTCAGAAAAGTATAGTTTAATATTGATTTGATAAACATTTGCGCAATTATCGTAGGACCTACAAAATTAGTAGCACCATCTTTTTATTCTACTGGGCCTGCGCTTTCAGAAAATATATGGTTTGGGAGGGTCTTTTACAAACTCTAAGGCTGGGTTCACACCTCAGCATATTGGAAACTCGCGTTTGCCGCGCGTTTCTTACTGTGCGGTTTTACATCGATTTGCGGTAAAAGAAACGCGACTTTCCGAGGGGGTGTCCGGCTCATAACAGCGGGATACGGGCATTAATACGTCCCAAAGAAGCTTATGTACTTCTTTGGGCGTATGGCGTTTTACCACGCGATCGAACGGGCGGTAAAACGCACAGGTGAGAACCATGCCCATAAGCAAACATGGGTTTTCACCTGTTGCGCGTTTTACCGAGCGTAGGAACGCGCGGTAAAACGCTCAGGTGTGAACGGGGCCTTAAAGCTGCAGTAGAAAGTAACAAAATAAAAGAAAGGTGAAGAATTACAAAAATGGGTGTGGCCAGCTGAGGTTAAAAGCATTCGAGGCCTTGGCAGCGAAAGGGTTATAGTGGAACTTTGACCTGTAAAAAACAAAAAAAAACTAATTCTAACAGGAAGGTGTTTTTATTGCAGAAAAGACATTGCGTTACTAAAGGATTTGGGAATGTGCACACAATTAAATTGTGTAACGGCTCACACTGAACAGATCAGCATATATTCTCAGAGGGCTAGAATGAAATAACTCCCATGTGCACACTCACCGGACAATCAAGGTGGCACAAAATGATAACCTAGAAGACGACTGGGAGAAGATAGACAGATGAATATTCACAGACTTTAGATTTACCAATGCTATGTAATACGAGGACCTACCTAATACAGGGGTGGACAAAAGAATATAGAATTCAGGAGCCAGTCTGTCCAGCTCCATTGGCAACAACTAGAGAAACCCTCAAATGCTAGACAACAGCTGTCATTTGTAAAGAGCATTGGCGACTGGCGACTGGAATTTGTCCAGCCCTGACCTAATCTATCCAATACATTTGTATCAATCAGGCAGGCCCCTGTACTATAGTTGTTGGTAGATCTAAAGGAGATTGTACAGTCAGATTGCAACGTGTGGTGAGCTTCAGGTCTCATTCACACAGCTTAGAGTCTGCCCGTACAGATCCGTGCATGGCTGTATCGGCCGTTCCCAGGAAGGACAGGAATCACACGCAGCACCTGTCCTTCTCGGGAACGGCCCGATACAGCCGTGCACGCCGAACGGATCTCTACGGGCCGACTCTAAGCTGTGTGAATGAGGCCTAAAAGCTCTCTCATTTTCCTAATCACCAATGTCACCAAGACTAAAAACGAGGGTAAATCCAAAATGTAGACTTGCCACCAGAACGGAAATAGAGAAAACATTTTCAGAGTCCATTCACACCAGATGAGTTGGGAAGGCGTTTTTCAGCGCATGCACAATGCACAACAATGAAAAATACATGAAAATCAGTGAGGCCAGTTCAAACCAGCACGTTGCGTTGCATATATCCATGCTGAAACACGCTCTAATGCATGCAAAAAAATTAAAAGGTTGCCAGTGAAACATAAAAAAAAAAATCTAAATAGAAATGTAAAAAAACACATTGCAGTATAGTGCAACGCAGCTCAGCAGATGTAAAATTGTGCACCAGCACATGCAGCAGACTTCGTGCATGACAACGCACAGCACCAATACAGACATTATGGTGTGCATGTTCCCTCAGCGTGGACACGTGTTACTTGTTTACATCATATGCAATGGCATACATTTTCAAACCCCCACATGCATATGAATTGAAAAAAAATTAAGTTTGCAAATGAGTTTAGTTTACACCCCCCCCCAAAATACACATGATGCATTTTTTTTTTTAGCACTGGAACACATGTCAACGTGCATGCAAAGGGCAAACCATCCCTAAGAGGGAATTTCCCTTATACTGAAATATCTTCTCACTTCCTGTTGAGTTTACAGCACAGGAAGTGAAGGGAAATGTCCCTAATGATCCACAGATGACCCAAAACTTTTTTTTTTTTTTAAATCTTTTAGCTATACTTGAAATCATATACTAAACAATTGTACATACAAATGTTGCGAATGCCATTATGGGACAGCAGCAGGAGCACAATTCCCTGTTACAATAGAGGAGTCGTGGATCTCCTGCTCCGTCTATAGGAAATAATGATTTGTAGTGTACACTTGTCCATCATTCCCCCCGACGCTGATTCCAATACCTGCCATTTTTTCCAGCACCTCGCCTCCCAGGTCCAGTTTACTCCAAACACTTTCTCCTCTGAACTGCCTCATAAGCGCCGGTCCAGAGATCGCTAAAGACAATAACATGGTGAGAGTAGTGGCAGGGGTCAGGTGGAGATCGGGGAGGCAGGATACAAGAACTTTCCTCCATGATGAGGAGTTTTGCGGTCTCTCGTCTTCCATTGTGCGAGACTTGTTTGTCCGCCCGCTGCTGCGCTTCCGCGTTCCATGTGCGTTCCACCTGCCTTCTTCCCTGACAAAACGTTTCCTGCATGTGAGAGGATCACGTGGTGTTCTAGAGGAACCAACTAGTCCCGTTTACAGAACGGAATTAAATGTATACGGCACTCATGGGTGTTCTTGTCCCTCAGCATTGTCATCCATTGTGCCCGCCTCCCAGCAGATCATGGCTGACAAGCATCTGATGAACGCTAAACAGCCTAAACTCACAATCCGGGGATTATGGGGCATCAACTACAGTGACGTCAGTAGGTTCAGACTCAGAAATCTGCAGCTAGCTTGAGAAATGAAGAATCTGTAATCATAGGCTCCTAGTCGTTTTGCTTCACGACAGGTTCTCTTTTTAAAATGTGAGTGCACCTGTAAACATAAGTATACTACTGCAGCAAAGTATTCATTCCCAGACCAAGAAAGCATCTCAATGTATCCCTATGGTATTTCTGGGCTCGGTTTACACCAGCGCAGTACGTTCCAGGACAGACCAAAAAAAAATACTTCTGGTCTCATTTTCTCTGGTCTGGAATGCACTGGAACGCATGGAAACGCATACAAACACACTGGAACGCACTAAGGGCTTGTTCACACCAATTACAGTGCGTTCCAGAGCGGTAGCTGCTGGAATGCACTGTATCGCATACTAAACTTCCCCGTGTTCTGGGTGGCACATTCAAGCAATAGCACCGCAGCCACGCCACCGGAACGCGTGGCAAAATAATGCCTGTGCTGCTGCATTTTTTTTTGCGATCGCACTGAACCGGAAAGCAGGCATTGTTTTGCCATATGCAATAAATGGCTCCATACACATAGCTGCGTATGGAGCCGTATTTTTGCGCTGCGTAAAGATGCGCAAATAAATTGGAACCGAGATGCGTATTTTACGCGTGTGTCCACATATACGCATGTGTGTGTGTGCATATACGTGCGTACAGTGCATTCAAGTTTCTATAACAAAAGATGCATTCTGGGATTGCATACATTTTATGCATATACGTGACTATGCGTACAATTTTGCTCTTGCATTGTGTGTGAATGAGGCCTGACAACATTATTAACCACCTCCGGGCCGGCCGTAGTAAAAAAACGGCCGGCCCGAGCTCTCTAGATCTGAGCGGGCGTCTTTAGACGTCCGCTCAGACACGCCCCCCCGCGCGCGCCGCTCGATTTACCAAAAAACTGGGTAATAATAAATGTTTCCTAACATAATGTTAAAAAAACTTTTTTTTCCCCAAATTTTCTGTAATTTTTCCTAATTATAGTAAAAAATAAAAACCCCAGTTGTGATTAAATACCACCGAAATAAAGCTCTATCTGTCCCCAAAAAATGGTATAAAATTCATTTCAGTACAGCGCTGCATGACGGAATAAACGTCAGTCAAAGTACCGCAGCGCTGAATACTGAAAAATGGCCTGGCCAGGAAGGGGGTCTAAACACCTGGTCTTGAAGTGGTTAATGACGATGCAAAAATTTGGAAATGTTAATATTTGTCATTTGTTTCATTCGGATGCATCCGAATGTCCGAAAATGCCAATTTCCGTCCAAATGTCAGTTCAGACAAGAACGAATGCGCATGTCTAGTCACCAAAACAATGATCCCATTGGAAGACTTTCCCTCTATTTCTGTTCAGGTGACAATTGAGATTTTGGCATTTCCCACCATTTTAGTAGTACAAAAGGTGAAGAGAGTGAATCCTGAATGTGGAGGGCTACTGCCGCTCAGTATAAAACCTCTACCTTGCTACAAGGCAGATTCTACACACAGCACTGTATTTCCAGGTGCTGCAGGAAGGAGAGCAGCCGCTTTCCTTGTCCGTTCACAAAAAGCCTTGTACATTTTTCTGGGAATATGCAGAACATTAACCGCTTGAAGACCAGGTGTTACACCCCCTTCCATAAAGTGAAATTTAGTGCACAGAAACTGAATATAATGGCAAATTTTTTGGTACAATATAAAAGACGGGGCCACGTCGGGCAAATAGATACTAAGCATGTCAAGCATCCATGAACCCACCAAAAACTACAATAACCAAAATTTTCCATAAGCGACGCTTTAAATGCTTTTACGGCTCATCAGTTTAGTGTTATCAGTGATTGATGGGCCTATAATTATTGCTCTCACTCCGATGCTCACGGCGATACATAACATGTGTGGCGTAATTTTTGTTTTTGCATGTAGGCGCATCTGACCCTGGTTTGTTGTTGTATGTGCGTGCACGTGGGGAAAGGGGAAACTTAAAAAAAATATTTTTTTGCATTTTAAATTTTTTTAATGTTACTTTAATTTTTACCTTTTTTTTTTACACTCAGCGTTATTGCTATTACATAGCGGGCTAAAAAGCCCCTTATGTAATAGCACATATAATGTGACAGGTCCTCTTCATGGAGACATCAGGGGTTTTTCATACCCCTAATGTCACCTAGGGACCCCAAAGAAGATATCTGCTTCACCAGCTTCTTCTTCTGGCTCTAAGGGGTCGTCCACACCACTTCCAGTGCGTCCTGGCCCGATTCTGGACGGAACGCACTGCATCACATTGCGTCCGGCTCAATTTTTGCCGGGTAGGAGGGGGAGTGGAGGGCCATTGAAGTGAATGGCGCCATAGCCACACCCTCCGGCCACAATGCGATCGCCCACATGGGATCGCAGGACACATTGTGCCTGCGCCCCGATGCGGACAAAATAGTGCTTGCAGCATTTTGACCGCACCACACCGGAACGCACTGCAGGCAGAATGTGCCCTGCGATCCTGTGCAGGCGATCAAATTGCGGCCGGAGGGCGTGGCTACGGCGCCATTCACTTGAATGGCCCTCCACGCCCCCTCCTGCACGGCACAAAAGTGAGCCGGCTGCAATGCGATGCAGTGCGTTCCGGCCGGAACGCACTGTGAGTGGTCTGAACAGGCCCTAAGATCTCGTTCACACCTAGGCGTATTGCATATGCGCGACCGTCGCACGTTTTTTAACCGCGATTCGCGGTAAAAAAGTCGCGCGACCATCGCGCGTTTCCAAAGGCTACTTGGCTGTATCCCAATGGAAACGCGCAACAAAACGGCCCAAAGTAGTACCTGTACATTTTCAGGCGTGGGCCGTTTTGTAGCGCGTTAGGGACGGGCGGAAATACGCCAAGGTGGGAACGAGACCATTGAATACAATGGGATTTATATTTTCCAGCGTTTTGTAGAGCGTTCGTCGAGCGTAGAACGCGCTACAAAACGTTCAGGTGTGAACGAGGGCTTAGAGCCAGAGACTGTGTACAGTGACACCGGAAGTGATGTAATGCACATCACTTCCAGGTCCAGTGATCGGAGGAGAGATCCGCAACTAGAAGCCACTGATCTCTCCTCCGATCTGTCAGGGGAGAACTTCTATGCGCGGCGGCCTGGGCTCACACGAGGGACAGATGAGCCCAGGAAGCTGATGGTGGGTGCACAGCTCCGCACCGTACAAGCGATTCAGCGCCTGTACAGACGCCGGATCGCTTGTATTTAAAGAGCAATCATCAGTTGTTTAACACGCTACAAGAACATGGCTTCAGGAGCAGCCATGTTCTTGTTATAACCACTTCCTGCGCATGACGCACAATTACGTGAACCCGCGGGAAGTGGTTAAAAAACAAACAAACAAAAAAAACACATGTGTAATGAAACACACACATATCTCACACACTCATTAAAAAACACACACATAGCTTAATTAAAAAAATAAATCACACACATTCATTTAAACACACACAATAAAAAAAACACACACACATTAAAATAGTTATTTAAAAAACGTCCCCCTCTCCTGCTTACCTGTTTTGCAGGAAGGGGGGCAGCATCCCTGGGCTTCAGTGGAGAATCAGTGTCATCTGCACTCTGGCTGAGCAGACATACTAATCGATCCCTGCCTGTTAGCACAGGCACCACGAGGGAGCGATCTGTATGATCTGCAAGAGGTGCAGATCATACTGATTCCCCACTTGACGACCACATGGGAATGATTTTCATTCAATATATTGCCAGTTCGGCAATATATTAAATGATAATTCACATGGGGGGCTTACAAGCCCCCCATGTGATAGCAGATCGTGGTGACAGGTACTCTTTAAGGTCACCTTTAAACTCCAAACAAGCTATTGCAGTGCAGATCGCACTTCAATCGCTTATAGCTGGGCTTCAGGAGCCCAACACTGACAGCTATGGTACTGGAAGTGATGCAATCTGCATAGCTGCCACTTCCATAGAACAGGGAGGGGATCAACGAACGGAGGCCCGTCCATCTCCTCCCCGACAACATCAGAGAAGCTGGTCCCTGGCCCGTAGGAGGGGTAACGAACCCCGGGAAGCACGGCAGGGGTGTCGGGTGGGGGGAGTTGACCCCTTCACTGGGCCATAGAATAGGCCTGAGTCGCCAATAGAAGCTGAGTCGCCAAACTCGCTTCTATTGTAAAGCCGACAGTCGGCCCCCGATGCTAGCGACGTACACTGTACGTCATCAGTCGTGAAGGGGTTACTAAGCAGTGTGAAGCCATTCGGCAGGAATACCCATTTGTGTCTGGCTTTACTACACACAAATGATAAGAGTCATCTCTGATACATCAGAATGGATTTAAAAAAAAAAAACTACTTGTCCAAGGACTAAAGCGGGGGCCCAATCTACTTGTCCCTCATGACAATCTACTTGTTCTGATAGAAAAAATGATCTTAACCAAAACTGTAGTTAAGAAGTGCTTCCCATTGGTCACCTGACCATGCTGACCAATGAGTGCTTGCAATTTGCAAGCAAAATCCATAGCGCAGCACTGCACTGGACACCAGTACAGGGGGCCAGATTGGAGCCCCTATATTAGCCCCGTATGTGATAACAATAGTTTATAATTTAAGAAAAATGAATGTCACAAAAAAAAATAAAAAAATTAGTTACACAAATCAAAACATTTTTTGAAAAAAAATTACACATGTAAACTTGTTGGGTGCACCTATGTGCGAAAACAACGATTGCGCTGCACATGTTACAGCACAAGCAAAAATTCTAGGGCCATCAATCATTAACCCTTTCGCTGCCAAGGACGTACGGCATACGGAGGTACAAAAGTGCTCCCGGCTGGCTAGCTCAGTATGTCGTACGGACCTGGCATTTACAGTTCTACTGTAAGCTCATGGTCGCCTTAGCGACCATGAGCTTATAGTAGAACTGTTCCCCGAACTGTCCCCTTCAAATTAATAGCTGTCATCAGCGGCTCACAAGCAATTCAGGATGGAAAAGGTGGCCAATTTAAAAAACTTACGATCTGCCCATCTTGGACAGGCCCGCCCCCCTGAGGGGCTGGCTTCCGATGACCGCAATGCTGAACGGGCAGTGTGCGCGTGCGCACACCGGCCCTTGTGGCATTGATCTTAAATCGTACGATTCTCAGCGGGTTTTCTAGCATGCTCCTTAGACAAAAGACGTGCGACCGTAAAGTAAAAACGCTTGCACGTTTTCCATACACTTTGCGATTATTGTACGATTGCGGGATTTCCCGCGATTATCGTGCGATAATTGCACAGTGTATGGGCACCTTTAGATTGTGAATGAATTGAAAATGTAAAAAAAACAAAATGAAAAAAACAAAAATGTGTACAAAAAAAACTAATAAAAAAAAGCACAACCCTTCCCTCCCCCCACATAAGGCCCCATTCACACTGAGCGATTTATCGCGCGATTTCGCTCATATTTCCACGCGATATCACTCTATGTAGCTTTTCCAATCCATTTTAATGGAGCAGTTCACATCTCGTCGCTCAATATCGCTTGTAGCTCGTCGCTGGTAGCGATTTCGAGCGATATTGCTCCTGATTGCATACAGCCCAATAGGGACAAGTCGCTCAATATCGCTCGTCGCGCAGTATCGCTCAAAATAACGAGATTTTCATGTCGCTCAGTGTGAATGGGGCCTTACATACACATATTGAGGTGTACGCCATGCACATGCACTGCAGATGTTCCGGAGGGCTTGGCAGCGAAAGGGTTAATAACACTAAACTGGCAAGCCGTAAAAGCTTTTAAAGCGTCGCCCATGGGCAATTTTGGGTATGGTCGGTTTTTGCGATTTTGCAAGCACAAGCAATTTTAAGGCTTGATGTGTTTGGTGTCTATTTCCTGACGTGATCCCGTCTTTTATATTTAACCAACAATGGAAACTTTTTTTTTCCAAAATTTTTGGTACTTTTTAATTATATAATAAAAAATAAACCCTCCAGTGGTGATTAATTATGGCCAAAAGAAAGCTCTACGTGTCCCCCAAAAAATGATATAAAATGTATTTCAGTACAGAGTTGCATGACTGAATAAATGTCAAAGTACCTGAGCGCTCAATACTGAAAAATGGCCTGGCCAGGAAGGGGGTTTAACACCCCCAGAACTTCAGGTGGTTACTGTACACATGTTCATGGTCCATTAATGGTGAAAGTCAGTGTATTATCACCACTATAATCGTCCAGGCCAGGTTTTCCAGTCATTCCACTGGGTATGCTTTACCCCCTCCCGCTGTACCAACAAGGGCCTAGTTCCACATCCCTGGCGCTAAACAAATGAAAGCACGTGACACAAACATTCCCGCGCTCTGACATCACTTGTGACGTTGCGTGAGCACGTACATTCGTTCTCGCGAGTTCTGGGACGTGACGCCTTCTTCCTGCGCGCGTTGCTGTTTTTCTTCTCGGCTACTGAGAGTCCTTTTGGTTGCCGCCATCATGTCGTCAGGTAGGGGGGTTGTAACGCGGCCGGTATGTTTGCATGTATGTCGGATTCCAGGTTGGGGGGGTCCCAACACAGCCTGCTATCCTGCAGGAAGGCTGTGGGTGACGCAGCAGGATAGTCGGAAGCCACGGAGCGGGAAGACGTCCTATGTATATATGGCTGCACCGCACGTGGGCGGTGTATAGTTGTGGTCCCGCTCCTGTGTGGTGTTAGACGCGTGTACGTGGCCGTGTGCTTGTGGAGGCAGACGGGTGATGTGCCCCCTTCACGTGTGTGAGGGTGTCTACCCTGTGCTGTGTAGAATAGAAGAAAGCCACACGCCCCTATTTTTGATATTAAACTTCAGCTCCAGCCCTTTTTTTTTTTTTTTAGGGATTCGTTAGTGTATGAAATGGTGAGAATTTGTATTGGGTCTATTGGGTATTTCTTGCTTCCTGTCCCGGTAACCACAGAGGAAGTAAAGAGAAACTGCCCAATGGGGACACTTTAATACAAACCTAGTAGGTTGGAGCCATTTTGCACCTCACAAGTATTCAAACTTGTGAACAGCTGTAAAGTTCAAATGCTTATGTAGGTAAAGGCCTTGTGATTTAGTCTTTACACTGTATACATTGCATGTATGACAAAATTGTATTTTTGTGAACGTCACTGGGGGCAGATGTTATTGGGGGTAGATGTAAGAACCCTGAAAAGATAACTGGCTCCTGATAGCAGAGGAAGATGTTGGCCTCAGACTGAGCATCTGTTGGGTGGAGTGGCAGGTTACAGCACAGTGCTGGATTTACTGGGCATGTGAGTATGTTAACTTAGCCTCGCCCCCCAAAAGAGAGCTATAGCCAAACCTCTAGCCTTTAGTTTTCATTTGGGTCACAGGAGTACATTTACTAATTTACTCCTGTGACAAACTCAGCATATAGTGGGCTACTGCCTTTCATATGTTGACCGCGCAGAGCCAATGTTGTCGGGATCCACCCTGATTGCCTCTCTAGAGGTAGCGCTGCCCACCCTTTCCAATGTTCGCCCCCCAATGAGTGCTGGAGGAACAGAGAGGGGAGTGCGGAGCCATGACTGGCAGTCACCACACCCTGCAGGGAGAAGACCATGAGCTGGGCAATTAGCAGTTAGTGATTGCTCCGTTCTCCAGCTATAGAGCCGGTGTTCTATCAAAGTTTATGACTACGTTGGAACGTGTGACCGGTCACGTGGTAACACATTCTAACGTAATCCTGCGCAGTTTTACAGCGGTGGAATGTGTGACTGGTAACACATTTTAACGTAATCCCGCCAAATGTATGTTTCGGCATTGCAGATCGTATGTGCAGGAGAACCGATCTGCCCTGGAACAGCGTATTTGTCTTGAAATATGACTTTGTTTATGCAATCTCACATTCCACAAAGTCAGATAGAAGTGACATTTCAGGACCGATCAGCTGTTCCAGGGCAGATTGGTTCTCCTGCACATACGAGTTGCGATGCCGGTCTGCCCTGGAACAGCTGAGAATTCCGGTCGCAAATTCCACCGCTAAAACTGGACCGGATTACGTTAAAATGTGTGGCCACGTCACTGGTCTCACATTCCATCCTAGTCACAAACTTTGATAGAACGGAGTGTGACAGCTGCGGTCTCGCATGCCGTCTCAATCTATTGGGAAAAGTATATTTTACACTCCCAATAGTTCTAAAGATGGCCATACACCTTGCGAATATCGTTCGATTTCTTTAGTGCCCTCATCGAGCGGTCGTTTGATTTCTACTTGAATACTCCATTATACACCGACCAATGTGCATTTTAAATTATGGTTCGTTAGCGATACTAACTGACTGAATTTCGTCGATCGACAACGGATTTGCGTTTGCACATGTGCAGTGGTCATGTTGGGTTTTTTCCCCGTAGCATTTGAAAGTTTTCCAACCTCCTCGATCGACGAAATTCACCCAGTTGAACAGTAACTGTGATTGTTTGCTTCCCATCAACAGGCTGATTATCGTTCAAAAACGCGTTTGATTTCCGATCGATAATCGCAAGGTGTATAGGCCACTTAGGTCTTATATTCACCTGCCATGTTATATTCTCCTCTAAGATCCATGTTTGAAAATGCCATTCGTTACTATGTAAGAGCCTTACATGATGTGTCATTACAATCAATGGCCTCTTCCCAGAAATTAGTGGGATTTTTTTTCCATGCATGTGCAGAAGTGAGTGACTAGTTGCAAGAGTAAATTGGATTTTTCTGTGCATTTACAAAAGCGAGTCTGTAGTTCAGGCTATGCGGTGTGGTAAGGGCCTTAACACCAACTTCTCTATTTCACAGTGGAGTACTTGAAATCTGTGGGTCAATTTCCAGATCCAAGCATTCTCTGGTAGGAGGGTGTTGTTTTTTAGGCTTTATCAGAAAGTCAGCATTTGCATAGACGCTCTGGAGTTGTGGTGGGAACTCTGTTAAAGGAGAACTATGAGGAGTGAAAGTCACTCATCCTGATAGTTCTAGCCGACGCGTAACAATGAAACTGTCACAGGTTGGCTCAATAGATAGGTAAGTGAGCGAACACATACCCTCGCTTGCTCACTTCTCGATCTATCCCCGCAGAGAGCTGTGACTGTCAGTCACGGCTCCCTGCAGGAATTCTCCCCGCTCCGCTCTTCCAGCACCAACTGGCGGAATGGGTGGGGGCGGGTACAGCTGCCTCTGCCTCTAGATCGGCAGAGCCAGCTGTCACTCTCGCAGCTGGGTGGATCCAGACAGTAAAGTCGGAGGCTTCTTAGTATACCGTGAGCTGTAACTCGCGGCATACTGAGCTTTGTGACGGGAGTACACTAGTTTGTGTCCTCCCGTTACCTTAAGGCTGGGTTCACACCTAGGCGTATCGAATATGCGTGTTTGTCGCGCGTTTCGTGATGTGTTTTTTACAGTGATTCGCGGTAAAAAAATGCGCGTTTCCGAGGGCTACCTGGCTGTATCCCAATGGATACGTGCTGCAAATACGCCCCAAAGAAGCTCCTGTACTTTGGGCGTAGGGCATTTTGTAGCGCGTTCACACAGCCTGTAATACGCCCAGGTGTGAACCATACCCATAGGAAATAATGGGATTTCGGTGTTTGACCATTTGGCAGAACGTAGGAACGCGCTACAAAACGCTCTACGCCCAAAGAAGTACAGGAACTTCTTTGGGGCGTATTTGCAGCGCATATCCATTGGGATAAAGCCAGGTAGCCTTCGGAAACACGCGTTTGTCGCAGGGTTTTTACCCCGAATTGCGGTACAAACGCGCATATTCGATGCGCCTAGGTGTGAACCCAGCCTTAGGAGAACTATGGGGAAAAGCCCTAACCCTATAGTTCTCCTTTAACCCCTTCATGACTGAGCTAGTTTTTGGTTTATGTTCCTAAATGACACACTTACATTTTTGCTGTGTGATTCTTCCACAGCAGCAAGTTTTGATTATTATTTTTATAATTTTTTTAATAATTATAGTATAAAAATATATTTATATACAAGTTTTAATTTCCTAATTTTTTGTACACTTTTTTTTTTTTTTTTACACTTTGTAAAAAAAATAAGTGTAAAAAAAGAAAACACTTTTTTTTTTGTCAGTTTATATCAAGCAGTCACTTTGACTGCTTGATAAACTTTTTTTAGTTATTTGGCTGCTCCAAACTTAGGAACAGCTATTAATAACTTAGAGACTGATCCTGACAGCGTGTCAGAATCAGATCTCAAGGTCTTTGATCGTTCCTAGACGATCAAAACTGATACATTTCACTCAGATACATTTGTATCTAGTGCTTGAAATGTATCATAAACATCAGGCCAGGCTATACAGCTGTCAAAACAAATAGCAGAGAGGTGAGTCACTGCTACCTCTCTGCTATCTTCAGCTGTCAGATACGGGATCGCTATTTAGCAAACCCGTATCGGGATCGCTATTTAGCAAACCCGTATCTGAATGTAAAGGCTTCATTCTTTCATTAATGAAAGAAAGAAGCTTTTACAAAAGCTTAACTATTTCATTAATGAATGCCTCAATACTGAAGCATTCATTAATGACTGGTAACTTCTGAGAATCAGCAGTTACCAGCATTACAGAAGCTGATATAACTCGGCACGTACAGTGTACGTGGCCAGTCATATAGCCACTTTGTGACGGGACGTACACTGTACATCTCCCGTCACGAAGGGGTTAATGTCATGTAAAAGGTATGCAGTGGCATAGTTTCGCCATATGTATTTTTTAATTGGGTAATGTAGCAAATTACTACATTTCACTTATGCTTGTATCCACTAAGGTGTTTGTTTTTTTTAAATTAAAGAATTGCATGGCTATTTGTCCAGCGTCACTGCATGTGTGTTCTGTGCGAGTTAACCTGCTGTTGTGAGAATGGGACAATCGAATGTTCCTAGGCTGTTCTCTTCTGGTTGAATGTCCTTCAAATATTTATGGGCAGTAGTAAAAATAAGATGATTTAAAAAAAGCAGTGTGAAGTAGGAAAAGACTGCATTATTGACACTTGATGAAGCCTAGGAGATATAATGTAACAGACTGCTGAAGCAAATTAGCAAATGTAACCATTGTTTCTATGGGGGATCCTGTATTGGTCAGACATGAATATTGTACAAGCTAAACGGTGATGGAGTATATTTATTGCCTCAAATATTCATCCTCTATTTCAGTGCAGTTATTGGTACCCTGGGGCTCACTGTTCCTAAACTTGCAACTAATAAGCAGGATCCGAAGTTCCTAAATATATATGTATTCTATAAAAAAAATTTTTCCTCTTAGATCCTGGCAGTTATGGAAGCTATGGAGGACCACCTCAGCAAGGGTAAGCCTTTAGCTTCTTGACCCACTCACTGGTTATGTATGTAAGCACTGGACACATGTTATGGGAGTGAAGAAAAATGAACCCCAGTGACTGGAGATTGCTTTGTGTGTGCTTAGTGTAGATATCTGTTAAAACCGTTTCACAGTATGATTGTCTGCTGCTCCTAAAGGAAAGTGTACAGTCTGGGCATATTGGACAGTCCTAGGATTGGGGCGGGGTAATCTTACTCTTTCAGGGGGTATAACTGCAAGGGTCTGTCAACACTAGCAATCTGTGCTGAACACCAGTCACTGGCCTCTGTCACCTGTATGCTGACGTGTACAGTGGTGGTGTGCCTATTCCAAGATTTCCCTTTTTTTTTTAAACATGTCATAGGTGACCTTTTCATGAATTTCTATTGGCACAGTAGGTTGGAAAGACGTTAAGGGTCTAATAGAACCCTGATGTCTATAAAAGACTATGCTGAGTTATCAGGACCAGTGTTGTGGCAGCGTCATCTATCCCCGTCTCTGAAGTATCATTGGTAGTAAGTGGCTGCAGCAGGTCTTTATTGCATTAAAGTATAATAAACTTTTTTGCTTATCTACTGCTTGCTAGTGGTAGATATATGCAAAAAAAAAATGCCAAAAAGGGTTATACTTCTCTCTCTGCCGCTCGTTCCCATCCGAAGAGCGGAAGTTTCTTGAGCGGCCCAGCAGCATGATGGGGCGGGCGTATGTGCAATAGAGCTCTTCACCCGGGAGAAGAGGGGAGACTGAAAACATGGGGGGCATATACTTAGAGGCACCTGTAACTTACATGAAGACCCGCTGTGCTGTTCTGGAAGATTCATGGGAAATATGTTACCGAACTCTGTTTTTTCCTTCCTAATGTAATTGAGTGTGTTATGTTTATAGTGTGACATTTTAAGGAACCTTTTGCAGATAAGAGAGACTATAATGTTCCCTGAAAATGGTAATACTATTTAAACAAGTATACAAATCGGGAACCCTGGTTTAATTTGCTAAGTACTTGTAAAAGGTCAGTGGTTGAAAAAGTAACCACAGAATCCGCATGACAGCCAGAGAGCTAGCAAGGTTTTTGGACAACCATAGTATTTCTCCTTGCTCAAGTTTCCTATTACAGCAGTGATGATCATAATTTAATTTTTATTTTGTAGTTATGCTGGTTATGGAACTCAAGGTGGACAAACTGCTGGACAGCCTGCACAGGTAGGTGATATTGTCTTCAACCTTAGTCTAAAGAGTTAACTGTCGTTGACTGTCCACTTGGGTACATTTAAAGTTTGTAAAGCCAATTTTTTTTAATTTTGGGTAGTCAGTAAAGGTTATGAAGTGCCAATTGAAGTTATATTTTTTTGCTCTGGGGAAAATTCCCTTCTCTTCTGGCCATGGGGGAAATTTACACCGTAAGGGGAATTCCCATCTTAAAATTCAAAGGAACAAGTGTCCCTATTAGATTTTCCCTCCCCTTTTTCTCTTCTGACCACTTCAAAATTCTGAATTTCCCCTCGCTTTATTTGTCCTGGTGACTATGGTCACACAGAGGGGTTCTGTCTATGGGTATAGCCAGCAATTAAGAACTTGTGTAAAGCTGGCCATACACCTATAGCTTTTTTATGATCAGATGGAAAAAGTGCAACAGATTCCTCCATCTACGCTAAACTGTGTGGCTGGAAGTATCTCCCACTGGGCCAAGCTTCAGTATCTTGCTAGTCGGCCCTGCTGGCTTTCAAAATACCTGAACAATCTGATTGGATGCGGGCAATGTTCAGGTATTTTGAGGGTCAGCGGGGCCGACTAGCAAGATACTGAATCATGGCCCAGTGGGAGATTCATAGAAAATCTGCAGATAATCTATAGTTGTATGGCTAGCTTTACCCTTCCCCACTGTCTCCAAAAATGAAGTTTTTTGCCTTTCATGCACTATTCTATTTAATCAGGCAAAAGTCGTTCGATATGTTTTACAAAGTACCTTCTTTAAATTGCATCTATGTTTCTGAAATGTATATAGCCAAAACAAGTACATAAGTTGATTTTTTTTTTTTTTTGAGTTTGATTTAGTGCTTTAAATATATTTAGCATTTGGTAGATGCTAGCATTCCCTGTTCTCTCAACTGTGCCCATGTCTCCTGGCTGTATGGTGTAGTGTAAAATCAATAAAACCCAGCAGAGAATTGTAAAGCCTCCTTCTATAACCCCAGCAGGATAGTTAAGATCTCTCGACCCATGTGTCAGGTAAAAGACCCAGCTGGTGACTTCAGCTCACTAGCAATTTGGCAAGAGTTGATATCCACTTTGGCTGGACGGACACCTTCTATAATCTTATAACTTTTTGTTTTGTTCCTCCAGGACTTTTCTGGCTATGGGCAGACAGCAGAGCCATCTGCTTATGGACAAAACTATGGAGGCTACAGTTCCAGTTATGGACAAAGTCAGGCAGGTGGTATGTATCTGTGGCATAATATACGGCTTGAAATCATGCTTGTTATAATTCTTAGACTAAGCCCAGTAGTAACATTGTTTTAGTAACAGGCACAGGACTTTGGGGCATCGGTGTCTACACATACCTTTTTAGATGTCTTCTACCGCATGCAGGGTGCCCTGTCTCCCAAGGGCCCTCTACTATGCAATTGCTTGCAAGGTCTCCTGCCTCTAATACAGGGGTAAGCAACCTCGGCACTCCAGCTCTTCTGGAATAAGTCCCATGGGGCACTGCCCTCTGACAGCTACAGGATAGACTCCCAGAGGCACAGGCATGATGGGATTTGTAGTTTAGCACAGGTGGAGTGCTGCGGTTGCCTACCACTGCTCTAATGCCTTGGTATTTACTTGCTGCTTTGATGGGCATCCTTATTAAAGAGTAGGAAAGTGTGGCTGACAGGAGGGGGCAGTTCAGCTTGTTCTCCTAAGACCTCTAAATATGTATTCTGTAGGGCTGAAGCTTGTACCGTACCATTATGTTTCTGGGCAAAATGGCTTTGCTTTCCCACTCCACACCTCTTTATCTATTTTATTTTTATGCCCACAGAGATTGAGGATATTATTGCTGATCTCTATGCCCTGAGAATGCTAGTTGACATGGTTGTCTTTGGTGTCAGTTACTGGCCTGAAACCATCATTCTCAGGAAGTGGTCAGCAATGCATGGCAACCCACATAGCATTATTTTCTTTTCTAAACTTAAAAGTTGATATTGGATCCTTCTTAGGTTATGGACAGCCTTCACAAGGACAGAGCCAAGCACCCTATGAAAGCCAACAGTCATTTGCAGGCTATGCCCAGCCGAGTTCAGAATCTACCAGCAGAGGCGGGTGAGTTGTGTTTTTGTTTTTACATTGTTTTATCTGTGGTGTGTGTGGTTTAGTTTTTTTTTGTTTTTTTTTAATATTCCAATACTTTGACTTTTTAAAGGTTAATCAATAGAAAACTTAAAATTGCTCACAGGTACTACGTACAGATACTTGTACCTGTTGCAGCTTTCAGTATCATTTAGTTTGTTTGAATGTGGAGCTTTTCCTATGATAAAACGCTCTGACCCTTCTGGTGGCACTTGCCCTGTAATAACCCAGTCTTCATAGGTTTAAGTTGGTCTACAGCTTGCTTTTATCACGTTTCCCTTTTGTGAGTTAAGATCTAAAAAGCTGGCTTTTTATATTATCCTAACTGCCACAACCTGTTACTGTTAGTTTCCAGAGCAGGGCTTACAGCTCTGAAAATGTGTAAGAGGTTGAGTCCCAGGGCTTAACCCTCCCCTGATACCTAAAAATGATATAGGTATCCAAATCTGCTACCAAGTTGAAGCTTTATTTCATATGTTTTAATGTTGGGTAAACACATGGAAAATGTTAAATGCAGTTTCCATTAATAAAGAGCTCATTTCACAAACCTTGGACACAAGGATCCCTATTTTAACCATGTCATTGTAGTTGCATTGTATTGCACTCTGCTGAAAATAACTGTGGCGCAGAATTTTTTTTAGTGTAAGGCTCTGTTCAAACTGGCAGACTGGGCGGTCTGGCATTTCTGCGGCAAAAACCTACCGATTCCCGTGACAGGAATGCCCAGTGTCCCCATTCATATTCAGCCTCCCTACCTATTCCGGTTAATGACTTACAGTGGCCACATCTGCAAGCGGCTTAACTTTAAAGCAACACTGTGATCTGTCACCTTTTAAAACTGGCTATACCTGTAAAAGCACACCAATATATGTCTATTCTAGTAGTCTAAAGCTGCTGGAGCTCTTTAGAAGTGAAGAATACAGCCAGTGGTTTCAACATTGAACCCTGCAATGACCCAGTCATTGAGACTGGGCACTTTCCCCCCTCCCCCTAGTTTTTTTTTAAGCTTAATGTTTGTGTATATTTTATATTAATTCTTTTCAGAAAAGCAGTTGGGTCTAGCCTGGTGTCCCACATGAAAAAAGGAACCCAGGGCTAATCCTTGCTCCTGCAGACTTCCACCACAATGTGCGACTGGTCACCCAAAGGCTCTTCTTTGACGCTCTAGATATCGGTCACATTCTGATGTCATCTTGCACAATGCAGTACCAGCAGCTCTGTGTTGTATGTGAGGACGGTGAGTCCTGTAACCCAGAATGTCAGAGCTGAGTGCTGGAAGCCTGCTGGAGCAAGGAATAAGCATTGGTATTACAACTTATTCCCTTACCTTGTGACTTTAGCCGTTCATTCTTGCAGTGTAGTAGTGCGCTCCTGCAGGGGTATTTTTTTTTACATATGGTCTTGAGTTCAGATTTAATTTCACAAATTCTAGGTACAGTAACAGAGGACCATATGGTGACAACCAGCCAGGTAACACTAGGCAGACGCATCAGGACTCCTATGACCAGCAAGATTATGGACAAAAGCCACAACCCGCTTATGGGCAGCAACAACCTCAAGGTTCCTATGAACATTCGGGCTATGGACAGCAGCAGTCGTTTTCTTCGCCGAGTGAGGGCTATGGCGCTTCCTCGCAAGGTGATGTACAAACCTGTACCTGCTTTATCTTGATATGACAAAACTAGGGTTATGAATTTGTTTGCTACAGTTTCCTGCAAACCTGTCAGAAAAAATATCCCAAAGATCCTTGTAATTGTGTCAGACATAATGCACCAATTAGCTCAGTCAGAAATTTGGATGCTGCAATTTTCTTTATGATGAGCAGTCATGCAACCTTGTCCGTATCCTATGATATAGAGCTGAACATTCAAGTGACACTAAACTCAGTGATACACAAATAAGATACATTTTTGTTAATAGTTAGGGTACTTCAATGCATTTTTAAGGTTTTAACTTCTGAGTTTAGTGTCACTTTAATTCTTATGAATTAACCTTTTGTTGGCAGTTGCCTCAGTTATGGCACATTGCAATTTCTGCAGGCAACACATTAATTTCTACAGAGTTTGCTAAAACAAAAATGGTATTTCTCATGTTTATTGAAGCACACAGCCAAATCTTCATTTTATGCAAGTTTTTTTTGCCACTTGCAGGAGTAGGACACTAGGCAGACAAAAACGACAAAAGTACAGCCCTGTGGGCAGCCCCTTCTGGTGGCTCAAACCCTACATCTTAGAGGTAGCCCAGTTTTTTCTTGCCTAGTGTTAAGAGTAACAACCTAGCTCCCAGCTGGGGATCTTGATTCTTTTATTCTATTTTTTCACTCAACAGCTGAGCTGGGTGACAGACTGGCTAATATAGATCCTTGTAGTCTCCCCAGCTCGGCCTACAAGCGCATGCAGATCCTTAGCTGCGTGCGGGTTTGGGTGTTCTTCATGGGGGGCGCATATGACCAACTGGGCTGCTTTGTCAGTGTGCACCCCCACTTCAGTGGGAGGCGATCTGATGTGAGAGAAAGTCCATATACCCACTGTTCCATCAATGAAGAAATGGGTGCAGCGGCTGGCTACTGCCAAAATTATATAGATAGAGATGGACACCGGCACTGGAAGGCGAGTACACCAATTTAATCCCGTACATGTTGCAAAGCAAGAACACTAGGTGCAACGTTTCGGTGTCTCACAGGATCCCCTTCATCAGGCAAACCAGTTATTTGCCTGATGAAGGGGATCCTGTGAGACCCGAATTGTTGCACCTAGTGTTCTTGCTTTGAAACATGTACGTGAATAAATAGGCGTACTTGCCATCGAGTGCTGGTGTCCATCTCTATCTGATGTGAGAGAAAATACCCTGTCCTCTACCTGGAGTGGTAAGTAGCGCTCTCTTCCCTGCTAGGTTGTTATAGGGAGCAGACACGGGTGCCTCTCCTCATCTAGTGCCCTGTAAGCTGGCTCAATAAGTCACTTCCCCAAGGTTCCTTTCTGCCTTTACTGCAGCTATCTGTTTCTGAGGTTTTGCTGTACTAGCTGGGCTTCTCCTCCTTTCTCTGGCCGGCTTCTAGCAGTGCTGGCTGAGCTGTTTGCAGACCCACAGTTACTGTGGAGGGGTGTTGCCGAGCACGGCTCTCTGTGCAGCCTAGTGCGTGTGTGCTCAGCCATGGAAGATTAACAGCAATGCTTCCCAGGCTTGTCTCCTGGTAAGGACCTGCATGTGGTGGTGGGATCGGATGAAACCTCACATTGCATTGTCTGCTCCTCCCACTTTTTGGGATTTCTTGCATACATTATGCTTGGAGCTTCAGTGGACTACAGGTCTCAATGTGTTCTGTGTACACTGCTTATTCTGTGCTGGAGGACTACAGGTTCCAACGTGCCTCTTTACGTACTGCATAATATGCACTCGAGGATGACAAGTTGCAGCATGACCTGTATGTTCTGTATATTCTATACTAGTGGGCTACAAGTCCCAGCATGCACTGTAATTACTGCGTATTATACACGAGTACTGAAAGTCGCAGCATAAGCTGTACTGTATATTATACACTAGTGGGCTACAAGTCCCAGCAGGTCCTGTGCATTATATACTTGAGAACTAAAGTCCCAGCATGCAGTGTAATTACTGCATATTATACACTAAAGGGCTGAAAGTATCAGCATGCCCTGTTTTAATGTGTATTGTGCACTAGAGGGCTACAAGTCCCAGCGTGGCATATGTGTACTGTGTATTGTACACTGGAGGGCTACAAGTCCCAGCATTACCTGTGCATGTTGCATTTTATACACTAGAGGACTAAGTCTTAGCATGCCCTTTTATGTACTGATTATTATACATTAGGGTATTAAAGTCCCAGCATGCCCTGTATTTACTATGTATTTTACACTGCAGGGCTACATGTCCCAGCATGACCTGCATACATTGCAATTGTACACATTCCTTCTTCCTCTGTTTTCAGGGTCTGCTTTGGGGGTCTCTGGGGTCCCAGGGCCATCTGTTGCTGTGTTGGTGTTTACCTCCATTTTGAAAGGGTTGTTCATGCATAGTACAGTCTGCAATGGGGGTCAGCTGTGCCCATCTAGGTGTTTTCAGTGTCTCCTGACATGGGGCTGCTGGGCTCGGCCACTTGTCCAGTGACAAGTTTCCTCCGCTGGTGAAGGAATGTTCTTTACCTTTATGGGGCTTTGTCTATTTGTGAGGTTTCTGTGGATGCTCAGTCAGATCCTCTGGTTCCTTTGGTGTGCACGGATCTTGGCACTTGTTTACAGTAGGGCTGTAACAACTGATTGATTAAATCGATAATAAGAATCGTTGGCTATGATTCTCATCGGTTTATTTGCCCGCTCTGCTCCTCCATTTTCCTCCGTGCTGGTGCTGTCTGCAGCGGTCTGTCAATTTCAATCCTCGCTGCAGACCACTGCATGCAGCCGGGACCAGCAGGGTAGAGACCAAGGGAGCATGGAGCCAGCTTCCTGGCCATTCAGAAAGCCGTGCGGCATGTAATGACTCATTGCTTTGCTTCCTAATACCGGAAGCTTGGGTATCGGACTAGGCATGGGAGAATTTGGGCGAGTAAGAGTAATCGGCCAAATACTTGGCATCGGCACGGATACTAGTATCGGTGCATCCCTAGTAGGAATACATCAGAATGTATTTCTTATAAAGTACTTGGCTGGCTTATTTGGCTTTTTTTTCTTATAGCATTCTCATCTCTATCTGTACAGATGAGCGAAAAGACACAGGCAGGTATGGTGATAATGGAGGCTATGGTGGATCCCAGAATTTTGGGGGTGGCCGAGGCCGTGGTGGCCATGATGATCGTCAAAGTGGTTATGAAGATCGTCGCGGTGGCATGAGGCAAGTAGTTATATTAACCTCTAGTTTACTATGCATGAAATTATGGTTTAATGATTTCACCAGAGGTAACTTCTCTAAAGCATGATTAATGTATTGCTTCACTAGCAAATACTTGGGAGTTGTACCTACTTAAATCTTTGATTTTGTGAACCTTGATATAATAGAAATTGGTTTGGGCACAGTATTTTTGTGTCTTGTGCAAAACCAATGTTGCAGCACCTAAAGACATGCCCAGTATATATTTTCCAGTAAAGTGTTTGAGTTGTGTTGGTGATGCTGGCTCCTGTAGTTGGTTTCATGGATCAGTGAATAGCTAGTTTTTCAAAGTTAAAGCAGCCTATTTAAAAAAATAAAAATAAATAAACACAAACAAATCCCCACCCCCTTTAAAAAAAAAACTGGATGGTAGGTAGCTTATATATTTGGTACTATGAAAAAAAACCAAATGTAGTTAAATCTTTGCCAGTACGTTGGATTTTACCTTATAACTATTTATGCTGTCCTCTGTATTTTCAGTGGATACCCTTTTTACTGCATTTCCTTTTCCACATTTGGCATGAAAACAGCTGTAGTCCCTTTTCCAGCTTCAGATTTTAATAGAAAAGTTAATTGCAGTGTGGTTGGGGGGGTATTTTTTTTTTTTTTTGAGGTCTGTGATGGTTTAAGAGCTTAATTTCTCTTGTAGCTCCCCCAGCAAGAGCATTCAGGTTTTCTTTATGCAGTTACATAGCTACAGTTTATGAAGGATTTGCTTTCATAAACGTAGATTATGTAGCAATATAATCTGTTAGATGTTCTTCACAATAATGCTTTACCGCTGACCTTTAAGGAACAATATATAGTAAGTACTAGTAATATAGAAGTAGAACTAAAAGATGGGAAGGCATCCAAACTATTTTAGGGGCTGCTATAAGCCCAAATGTTGAACTAAAGGATTAACATGCCTCAAACACAACCAATATCCACAAATCCTATCCAATATTTCTTCTAAACTGGGCTGAATCCTGTCCACTCACGAGACCCATTCACTGATCTAGTCAGTGTTCAATGGAGAAGGTTAAATGTTTTTTTCCTATTAGCAATGTCTAAGTCCATGCTCTTCAGCATTAAGGCAGACATGAAGTAAATAATGCACAGTTCCATGGATACCATTTTTTTATAATTAAAATGCGGGCAAACTGAGGTCTGATATAATTGGGGGAGAAATTGATTCTCCCAAAATGCATGTGATCATGTACTGCCGGGGACCACCTTTTTGTATCTTTCTCCACCATGTAAGATTTTCTGCACATATTGGTGTCATGGGCTCACCTTTAGACTGCATTAAATTTGCTTTGGGGGTTGCTCTTAATATGTCTATGTGGATAAGGTTTTGATATGCCAATGTGATACAGCAGGGAAAAGGTATGAATTTTTCACGTTGACATTCCCTGCCTTAGTTCACTTTAGCTGCTGCTTCTACCAATAGAGATATACCACTTGCAGCGTCTGATTTTCTGGAAACCGCGGGCACCATCTCTAAAGGCACCTGCAAATCTGATGTTAAACCTGGGTTTGGAAAAATTAAATTGCTTATAAGTGACAATCAAAGTGTGAGCCCTTACCGTATATATTTCAGTTGTGGACAGGTGCTGTTGTATTGCACACTGGCTTTCTACATTTGCCCTGCAGCTTCAGTGGTAAGATGTCCATGCTGGATGTATGGGCTGTGCTCCTTCATTGGTCTCCCACATGTGCTGAATTAGCTGCATTGACAATGAGCATTCCCAGGTCCATCTACAAGCAGTAGAGACTCAGAGTAACATGTTTGGATCATGTAAAATAAGGGTGCTCTCTTCTATAAAAAAAATAAGTTTGAGTCTGTGTCTACTCACTTTGCACTTCATCCATTGGACAGGATATATTGAAATATTAGGTCATTACCACTCGGCTAGCAGTAATGTTTATAATAACTTGACCAAAAGCAGAAGCTTCGCCTATCAAACAAATTCCTTGTTCCATGTTTGCCAGAGGTAAAATGAAACCTGACTGGTCACCGTGGACGATTCCTCCGTTTTTCCTAGTTTTTAAGTGAAAAATATATATAATTTTTTTTCTTGCAATTTTACATTCCTGTAAATCTGTTTTATAAGGGCCTGTGTTGGCGGCGTCAGCTTGAGACACAAATTCAGAATTTGACAGATGCAGTTGACCACCTTCCAACCTGTGGTTTTTGTTTTGTTTTTTGACCACCTTCAAGCGGATTTTGTACAAATTCCCATTAAAAGCTAATAAAGGCCTGTTGATACAGGCCTTTTTAGGATTTTTTTTTTTTTTTTAACCACAGTAACAATGTCAAGAAATGGTTGATGCAGCATGACCTTTAGTGTATTCTGGCTCTGTATACCATAATTTATTGGTAATGAGCTTTAATGATGGTGAGTAATGTTGCATGCACGGGTGGTGGCTCTTTAGGTTTGGAGAACTGAGGTAGGTGGTATTCACATGGGGAGTGTTTTGATCTTGGCTTGCGTGTGGTGTATCTGATTCAGCAAGTTTTGACCAGCTCTCCGGAATCCGTTAGGGTTGGTTAACACCATAGAGTGCATTCCAGAACGTTCTGCCTCTGGAACGCACCCCGGATGGCTCCCTGCGTTGGAGTGGGGCGTGGTGGTGCATTGAAGTAAATGGCACCGCAGCCACACCCGAAATGCGTGGCACATTATTGCCTGTTTTCTAGTCCAGTGCAATCTGCACAAAGAGTGCATGCAGCATTTTTGCAGATCGCAGTGGACCGGAATGCAGGCACTAATGTGCCACATGTTCGGGTGGGGTGTGTGGCTGTGGTGCCATTGACTTCAATGCGCCGCCACTCCCCTTCCTGTCCTTGAATGCAGGGAGCCGGCTGGGTTGCGTTCCAGAGGCTGAATGCTTTGGAACACTTTGTGGTGTGAACCGGCCCTTAATGTACTGTTTAGTGCCACTTAAGGAGTATTGATTATGGATCCTAATGAAAGTGCTTGGTGTAGTAGATTTAAACCAGACCTTTAGCAAGCTACAAGCAATATGAAAAAAAAAAATTCTGAGATTAATGGGCTAAGGGATCGAAGAATCCCTAATCTAAATGTCCCTGGTCTGAATTGATGATGTAGAATATAATTAACATGGCAACCAGGAAAGCTGAACTTTCAGTAGAGGTCAGCAATTATGTTGACATGTTGTTCAATCTAGGTTTCCTTGCAGTTTGCTAAATCTTGCTAAAATTTTGTTTAGAACTACACACCACATTCCAGTTAATGTTTTCAACAATTCAGACTGAAGCTGAAGGGAGTTTAAAGACACCAGTCATCCATGCAAAAACAATGTGCTTTCTAAGAGCTGACGCAACAGTGTTTATTACTAATTCCCACGGTTTTCGGGGTCTTTAAAAATACTTTAAGGGGGGAAAAAAACATTTTTTTCTCCAAAGATTAGGTTTAATACTTACCCCTTCCACTTTCTTCATGCTGTCAGCTGCTGCGTGCTGGAATTCGTATCCACTGGCCTCTATCACTACAGTCAGTTTAACCAAGATTGGCCCTGCAGCACACATGCAAGTTTCCAGAGTGGCAGATCAGGTGTTCACAAGCAGTGTTGTAGATGAAACATTAGGTGATGAAGGCAATATAATATCTGTTGGGAGACATTTTGAAGTAAATGCATCTAAATGTATCGCCACAAACTTCCACCAGCTCAGTGTGCTCCTATATGATAATGCTCACCTGGTGTTTTGGCTGGGTTACACCATATAGCGCACTGGAAACTTGCACTTAAACATGTAAGGTGTAGATGCTGCGGCTTCTGCAGCAAGCCCTGGAGATCAGTAGTGCTGATCGTGGATGGTATACACTTTCCAGCGTAGACACCATTCTGGATTGTGTTTACCATCCATGAATTTGCAATCGCCACTACTGAGCTGTAATGTTTTTTTGGAGGCTTCCTGCACAAGACACCTCCGCATCTACACCTCACATTGTGCTAGTATCTACAATGCGCTATGTATGGTGTTACTCGGCCAGCACAACAGGGGTGTTTTACTATCAGAGCTAATTGTGAAAGTACTAATGAGATCTGAGGTTTTTTCCAGTGACTTTATCCTGTAGATATCTAGGGGCTGGTTAGGGAAAAGACAAGGCACCCGATACTCCTAGAAGTGTTAGATGCTGAAGATTTTTCACCTAGTGTATCTTGTCAAGACAGCAGACATGAGTAGTGTGGGAGGGGCAAGAATTAACCTTTTTCTTTTACAGGTAGTGGGTTTTTTTTTTTTTTCAGATTTGCAAAAAATCTGAATCACATGCTGACTTATCTCTTGGATAGTCTAGTGGCAAGATCTTTCCTCCAGAATTCCCAGTTCTGCCAAAGTCCTATGACTATTGGAAAGCCAAGTGATCATGTCAGACTTCTGCAGGGTGTTCCTAATTAGAATCCAATATTAAGGTAAGCTTTACTAGTGACACCTACATCCTAACCTTGCAGGAGAGGACTGATACACAAAGCAATGCATGGCAAGCTCTTCACTGGAATCTTCAGGATATAAGCTGGTGTGTGAATAAAGTTCTAGTATAAATATTTCAGCTGAATTGGAACTCATAATAATTTTGGGCTTTGTATAAGATATATATATATATATATATATATAGATATATATATATCTCTATATTAGTATAAAAATAATTACATATAGTTCCATTGATGCAGTAGAAACCTGTATGCTAGCTTTACAGGGGGGTGGGGGTGTTTATCTTAAGAAATGTTCTTATCCAATGAATGTCAAATGGGAGCTGCACTAGTCTTAACACTTAATTGGGTTTTTCTGCATTCAGTTGCCCTAAGTGGTGAAGGGGGGCAAAAAATCATGTCTCCGCTTTTTCCTCCACAGCGGTGGTGACCGAGGTGGCTTCAAAAATTATGGTGGTAAGTGCCTTTGAACGTAGACCGTTTCCATGGAAATCCTGTTGCATTGAACAGGAGTCCTCAGCTTATTACAGGCCAGTAACATGTTCTACTACACTCTTGCAAAGATATACGTCTGATGGTGCCATTGTCAATGTTTAACTGCTTTGAGGGTAAGAATCATACAAACTTGCAAACAATGGAACAAAAATGTATTCTGTCAAAACGGCTGAAGATCTTTATAGGTTTGTTTCGCTCCATATACGTATTCTACATGGCCCTTTTAAACACATTAATGCTGAACCCTGTGCTTTCACACTTCTAGTGAGGTCTAGACTAGCAGTGGAAACAGTATTGCTTGTGTGTAGATGAAAATTGTGGGGTTTGCAAAACCTGCTTGCAGTCAGGGCCAATCGGTGCCTGCACACATCTGGTACCTTGAAAGCGCATGCAAGGACTGTTTCTACTACTAGGTAAGCAGTATAGGGGTTAAAATGTTTGTCAATTTGGACTGCTTCTACGTTAATACATATTTAATTTTGTCTACGTAACCCCATATGAGGTTTTTGGGTTGCTTTTTCTTTCAGTATGGGTCTGTTAACTGTCATGTCTACACCTGAGCTTTGTCCATTCCGAAACAAAACGGGCTTTCTTTAACCCAGTTTCCCTCACTAGCATTTTTTCTTTGCTCCCAGCACTGAACACAGTGGCGTAGAGCAAAGGATCTTCCCTACACTTTCAGGTATGAAGTGGCATGTGACTCACTTCATAGCCTAGTGTTATAATTGGAAGTCATAGCCCTCTGTAACAGGCGACTTGTGACTTATGATTTATATTCCCAGTTGTAAAGGAGGCTGTTATACGCTTCTGGGGAGGGCTAAATATTGCTTTGCCTGGTCAAAGCAGTTTCACTTTGTGTGGAAAGGATAATTTTTATTTTTATTGAACAGCCAGATTGTCAAGTATAGGAAATGTATC